TATATTTAAAGCTAGTTTTTTGGGCAGTGCAGTAGAGTAGCACTTGTTTGTCATTTCTCCGATCACAAATGCACAGGGTTTTATGCTTACGCGGCGCGGCGCATCGCAACGCAACGCGTAAAACGACAGTATAAGTCATTATAATCAGTAATTATGTCCCCACTGGATGCAACAAATGCCTCGTTTGTAATGGGTTTTAATGTTTATGTCTCGTCGCTCCGGCCGGACACGGCATCAACAGTATGGTGAGGGGCGTAACATTTCCGTCTCACGCTTGAGGTATTCGGCCAATCACAACGCACTGGATAGCTGGCCAATCAGAGCACACCTCGCTTTTTCAGACCGATGAGCTTTGTAAAAATCAACGCGTTTCAGAAGGCGGGGCATAGAGGAGAAACAATAATGTACAGTATGTGGAAAATAATGTGTTTTTTTTACTTTAAACCGCATAAACACATTTCATTACACCAAATACACAAAATAATGTTCTTTTTAGCAGCATCATATGACCCCTTTAAAATACTTATTCGTATCCAACCACATAAGCTATTTTACAACAGTTCTGAATGCATCTGAACTCAAGTGTCCATTAATTATATTGCACTTATTTATTTGTTTGGAATAATTTGATCTATTGGATTAAGTCCATTAATATAAAAACACTTAAAAAAATTTATTTATTTATTTATTTTATTTTATTTATTTTTTTTACTTTTTAGTGTCGAACCACATAACTTTTGAATGAGTCTGAACTATAATTTTTTTTAATTGTAATTAGCTGTTTTTAGATTTAGGATTTATTTGATCTATTGGTTTGAGTCAATTAAATTTAAATAAAATAAAATAATACAATTATTTGATCTATTGAATAAAAAAAATAAATAAATAATAATAATAATAAATAAATATTAAAAAAAAAAAAAAAATGAAATAAAATAAAATAAAAATAATTATTTGATCTATTGGTTGAGTCAATTAAATAAAAAAAATAAATATAAAAAAATAAATAAAAAAATAAATAAAATAAAAATAAAATAAAATAAAATAAAAAAATGCTACAAGTTTTTTCATGTTAAAATTATTTCATATCCAATGAAAAAAGTTAGTTGATTTACAAGTCTCACTCTTTTTGAATGAAAGTTACTCTTCTCAGTCTTATGTTTTGAACTCAAGTGTTTCATAATTTGACATTTGTTGCATTAAGTTCGTAAAATAATAAAATCAAATCAAATCAAATCAAATCAAATACAAAATAATACATTTTAGTGTGAGAGACGGCGATTTTTTAGTTGAATTTCCAGCAAAAATAACTACATTGTGATATATTACCATGCTATAAAATTACTCGTATTATGATATGTGATTTTGGTTACGTCGCCCACTTCTAGCAATCAGATGTGGGGATTTTATAGCTTTACGTGTTTTATAGCTTTTAATGCTCGGCTGTTTACACGAATGCGAACTCTTTCATCAGAATATTCGCATAAAAGCTCCGGTCTGTTGATTGCTTATCAAGCTCTATTCAAAATCTGTTGCTTAACACAATAAATGCAGACTCAATATGTGGCGAGATCTCATTGCGCGAGAACTGTGAGTGATGTGCGGCATGAGAGCGTTATCGGTGTCTGTGTTTAGGCCACTTTCACGTCGGTGTAAACACATGACACATTTGCTCTGAAATGCGCCATTGTTTGCGAGTTTAGGCCATTGTAACCAGCAGCTGCTGTTTTCCATACACCATACAGACTGCTTTTCCTGGGACATTCCCAAGAGGAACGGGAATGCTTGATAACCTTTTTTGTAAATATGTCAGTCTCCTGATAACATATCAAAGACACTGGAATACAATGGGCAGAAATAAATGGTACATGAGCATGTTGTCCAGCAAGATTTATGTACATCAAGGTCAACATCTTAAATAAAATCTGAAGTACAATTTTACATTTTGAAGCAAATAGTGAAGAAAAATAAGTGTTTGCTCATGCAAAAGTTCTAGTAACAATGATACTATGAGGTTGAGGTCCTTCCTTCAATGCAAGTCTATGGAATTAGATTCACATTGTAAGATCTTTTTAACCATGGTAAAAATCACTGTAATGCAAATGCTCGGTAACACTTTAAAATAAGGTCTTAACATTAGTCAATTCATTAGTTAATATGTTTTTTTGAAGTGCTTATTCATAGCGCATTAATGTTTAAATGCAACTTTTTTATATTAAAAATCTACTACTGAAGTTGTAAAAAAAACATCTAAAATAACATTGTAAAATAAACTTCTTTCATGTTTAATTCATTGTTTCCTGCCATATCTATAATGCAGTAAATTGTAGCAGTAAATGTTGAAATTAACATGAACTAACATGCTGTAGGAGTATGTTCATTGTTAGTTTAATGTTAACTACTGTAGTTAACTGAAGTTAACTAACGAAGCCTTATTGTCAAGTGTAGCCAAATGTTTTAGTAGACATCTGATCTGCAAATCTTTAAACCTCCAGCAGTCATGCACGGATCTCGTCGCCTTGAAAATGGAAGTGAATAAATGTTTTTCTTCCCCGCATGCTATTTTCTTGGAATGACCATATGCTTGCGAGTAAACAAAATCATATCTGATCAAACACGCAGCTGTAACCACAAGAACTGTGGGACTTTTGTGATTAAATATGGATTCAGAATAGTAATGAATTTATTAAAAAAGCTTGCTGTCCTTAATATCTAAATGCAGACAAATTATGTTGCTAATGGCTGTTTTGCTTGCATAGCAGCGGAGCGCAAAATTACCAGCGTTTGAAAAAGTTATACAGCACCTCCAAACTTCAAATGATCAAAACAGACTTAATTAGACATGTTTTCGGTAAAAATCGCATTACCATATGGTTACCATATGTAAACCATTTCAAGTTGAATTACCAGCAAACAAAAAAAACAAACTCTAATACTACACTCTCAGGAAAGAAAGCGGTCACATTTAGGCACTAATATGTTCATCTGAGGCACTAATGTGCATCTTTAATGTACTAATATGCACTTTTTAGATTTAAATAATGGACGAAGGTGTACCTTTTGAAAGGGTTCCAGCCCACTGCTTTTGTACCTTTTTTTCGGAGTGTATATTGTGTGTGTTTGTGACACTGACCTGTAATGGGTCGGTGGGCATGTGCAGCAGGTGAGGAGGTCTGTCCGTATAGTGCTGCTGTCCTCCGTTGCTCTCCTGCTCATATATAGCGTCCCGTTCGACTTGGGACAAACTGAGGAACCGGCGGATCATGGACAGGTTCTCCCAGAGCGTGCGGTTCTCCGGGGACGGGTCCTCTTTCCAGCGCAGCAGTTCACAGAGCCAGCCCTGCAGGAGAACACGAAGACGACACGTCAGATGTGAAAAGCAACAACTAAACAATTAATTCAGGCTAAAATGAAACAAATACATTTCATGTTTCATGTCACGTATGCTAAAAGTTTGGGGTCGGTAAGATTTTTTAATGTTTTCGAAATAAGTCTCTTGTGTTCACCAAGGCTGCATTTATTTGATTAAAAATTCAGTAAAATTGTGAAATATTATTATAATTCAAAATACCCGTTTTCTGTGTGAATATATTGTAAAATGTAATTTATTCCTGTGATGCGCAGCTGAGTTTTCAGCATCATTACTCCAGTCTTCAGTGTCACATGATCTTCAGAAATCATTCTAATATGCTGATTTGCTGCTCAAGAAATATTTCAGATCATTATCAATGTTGAAAACAGTTGTGCTGCTTTATATTTTTGGTGACATTGTTGTATATTTTTATTTCAGGATTCTTTCATGAGTAAAAGTTCAAAAGAACAGCATTATTTTAAATAGAAATCTTTCATAACATTTTAATAGTCTTAACGGTCACTTTTGATAAATGTAATGCATCCTTGCTGAATAAAAGTATTAAAAATATTACTGAACCCAAACCTTTAAACTTTTTTTTTTTCCCCATTTTGCATCAATTTTCATTGAATATATATATATATATAGTGGAAAATTACATAAAATACAAGAGTATAGTGGCAATTTTAACATTACACCTTTCCTATACGTTTTTAGAAGATAATTCTTATATTTCAAGAGTTATGCTATGCATGGCTGCAATGCAAAACGAAAACATAACATAATGAACATGTTGGACATAATTGCATAATCAATATTCATGAGTCAAGCTACCAAGTTTAATAACTTCTCACGCAATACCTTTATAACTAAAGCCTTAAACAAACAAAAATATGTATATGTGACCCTGGACCACAAAACCAGTCATAAGGGTCAATTTTTGTAAATTTATCATCTGAACGCTGAATAAATAAGCTTTTCATTGATGCATGGTTTGTTAGGATAAGACAATATTTGGCCGAGATACAACTATTTGAAAATCTGGAATCTGAGGGTGCAAAAAAATCTAAATATTGAGAAAATCGCCTTTAAAGTTGTCCAAATGAAGTCCTTAGCAATGCATATTACTAATCAAAAATTAAGTTTTGATATATTTACAGTAGGAAATTTACAAAATATCTTCATGGAACATGATCTTTACTTAATATCCTAATGATTTTGGGCATAAAAGAAACAATACAATGACCCATACAATGTATTTTTGGCTATTGCTACAAATATACCCCAGCGACTTAAGACTGGTTTTGTGCTCCAGGTTCACATATGCTAAATATTATTGATTTTGTTTAGTTTGAGAGAGGAGTTTCTTCCTGAAAAGTACTAACGGATTGGTTAAGGAACTGGAAAAGGAATCAGAACCATTAAATTCCTTACAATTCCCATTCCTAATATAAAGGTATGGTAAAATCCTAGTTTAGGAAAGGAAAAGAGGAAAAAGGAGCTTTAGTGTGTGTTCCAGCAGTCGAGTCCTGGCACACTTACAAATGTGATGCCCTAATCTCCAGGCCAGTGTGTGGCAGCACCTTTCATTTCCACAGGATTACCCAGCACACACACACAGGGAGCAGGAGCCAGAGCCACAGCAGAGCGCTGCACGGCAAAGATAACTCAGCATTTCTGTTGTCCCATGTTCCTGCTCCTCCCAAAACCCATGTAAAGCCCAGAGAGCGAGCGAGAGAGAGGTTCATCACAGCTCACCTTGTTCCTCTGCCACGTTTATTGTCGCATTTTGTTTTATTTGCACGCTTAGGGATTGGAGTCCCGTTCCTGCTGTGATGTCTGGAGCATGACACGGTTCAAACACGCACACACCTTATCGCAGCCATTAAGCGCTCTATCGTAAAATAATCCTCAATCAAACATCTGCGGATAAAACGCCAAACAAATCCCGCTGAGCCAAAGAACGAGCCATCAAAAAAAAAAAAAAACGTAAAAAGTCAACAGAGGTATTGGCATTAATGCTGTGGCATTATAGAACAAAAACACGATAAACACTTTTGCATTGGACAGCCATACAGATGCTCTAATGCTCTCTGGGCCTTGAAGACCTGAAAAAGCGCTTGTATTTGTCCAGTTGCATTGCTTCCACCGTCTTACCATAAACAGTGAGCGCTCGCAGAGAGTCGGCCTGGATACGGGAACGTTACTGGGATTTGTTCGGCTAATTCTGATAAACACTATAAAGGATAATGCAAATTATTGGAGAATATGGAGATAGGAAAACTAGTCATGTTTAACATAGCTTGGCTAGTGATGGTAAAAGTGAATTGCTCAGAGGTTGCGCTTCATTACTTTGTTTTAACGTTCCTTCTAAAATCATAATGAGAAATAAAAATGACTAATGAGTCAATAGTTCACATTCAGTGAGAGTAAAGAGCTATACATTTGTGGAGTGAATTGAATGAGAAATGCCTGAGCTCACAATGAGATCTTCTGACTTTGGTATCTTGGCAAAACTGAGCACAGATTTAGAAACTCTTACAAATCACTTTTGAAGCTCTAGATGAGAAATATTTAATTTTTTTATTTATTATTATTATTACTATTTTTTTTTATGGGTACTGTGTGAATTTCCAATAAATAAATAAAATAAATAAAAATAAAATAAAAACAAATAAATACATAAATAAAAATCCAGGTCACATTTCACACCAAAAATTTAATTATAAAATATTATATTTAAAACAAAATAAAATAAATAGTAAGCCTGATGTTCTTTAAGCCAAATTTATGCTCACATTTCACATAAAAAAATGTGTGAAATAAAATAAAATAAAATACAAAATTAGTAAGCCTAATTTTCTTTAAGTCATATTTACGGTCACTTTTCACATGAAATAAATTATAAAATAGTTTAACTTTATTTTATTTAAATAAAACTATTTGATCATTTATTTTTTTATTTTAATCTTAAGCTTAATTTTAAGACCAAATTAATTTACTTTATATATATTTTTTTTTTATTCTTATGTTATGGTGAAATATGACCTTTAAATATTTTTGACAGATTTTGCGTGAGATTCACCCATTTACAGCTCAACTTTATAAGATTATGTTACCCAAACATCCTTAAAGGCTGTGGATGGGTGGACAGGTCAAGTGCTACATGAAGAGAGGGTCCAGGCAGCCCACCAGAGCCTCCATTGTGTTTGGGGTATAAATAGCAGTGGTACATTCTGATAAAAATATTTCTCTTGCGCACAATGGCTGAATTCATGCGTAAGATTCACCCAACTAAGCAGGATACGGTGTGTCTATGCGTGTGAGGGCCGAGCGGTCACAAGCTGCCAATGAGACAAGTACAGGACGCTACTGTGAGAGAACAGCGTGGTGTTTATGTCCCTCGTCCGGACCCAGATGCCAGCGGACACATTAATAACCTTGGGATTGAGTTCAGGAGCCACAGACAGTTGCGGTTTTCCACATCACAGTCACATGGCACCATCAACACCTTTTTATTATCTCATTTGCTCCTTATCGTCCCCTCCGCTCACCCTGTTCTGCCAGGCCTCAGACTCCTGAGACGATACCCGTCTCAAATCACTTGGACCTTGATGTCGCCAACGGTCCCGAATCGGCCAACAGCTCCCCAGCATCACTGGGCCGCATCCCAGTTTGTATACTTCTACTATGCACTAAAAGTGTGTACTTGGTTAGTGATCGTCAAGAAAATACCTTCGAGAAATTATAGAGACTAGTATTGGAGAGAAGTATTTGGCAAGGTTATTGGGAAACTTGCTACGATATAAACTACCCATAATGAAAAGTAGGACGCTACTTTAAAGTTACAAACTAAAACAAAATTGAAGTGATTTAAGAGGGCATTATCTTACCTAAATAATCATATTTATCTGGTACCAAAAAATTATTTTATATGGCACTCTTGGCATTAAATAGCATCTGAACAGATCAATTTACACTAAATACCACTAATAAAATTAGAAGAAAAAAATAAATAAATTTGAGAAAGAGAAAAAATACAATTTTAATTTATATTTTAACAAAAAAGTGTGTACTTGGTTAGTGATCGTCAAGAAAATACCTTCGAGAAATTATAGAGACTAGTATTGGAGAGAAGTATTTGGCAAGGTTATTGGGAAACTTGCTACGATATAAACTACCCATAATGAAAAGTAGGACGCTACTTTAAAGTTACAAACTAAAACAAAATTGAAGTGATTTAAGAGGGCATTATCTTACCTAAATAATCATATTTATCTGGTACCAAAAAATTATTTTATATGGCACTCTTGGCATTAAATAGCATCTGAACAGATCAATTTACACTAAATACCACTAATAAAATTAGAAGAAAAAAATAAATAAATTTGAGAGAGAAAAAATACAATTTTAATTTATATTTTAACAAAAAAAATATATATATATACACTAGAAAAATATTAAATATTAAACTAAACATTTAGCAGCAAAACAATTTCATTAAAATGATTTAAAGCATTTAATTTCAATTATTTAATTTAAACAAATAAATATAAATTTAGTTATAAAAATATAAATTGTATACATTTTTATATTTTTTTTAATCTGTATTGTAACATTTTTCTTATATTCTTTTTTTAATTTTATTGTTATTTTATTTTTTTATTTTATAAAATTTATACACACACACACACACTGTGTATAAATATGTGCACATGGTTGACGATTTTTGTTGTTTTGATATTCTATTTAAATTTAATTTAAATACTTAAAAACAAAAATTATGTGTGTGTGTATACAGTATATAAAACATTCTTATTTTATTTTTTTCTTATTGTTTTTATTTTTCTCATTTGAATTTTATTTAAATTTCTCATTTGAATTTAATTTTTCGTTTTTATTTATAGTGCCCACGGTTGACGAACAGTATTCCTCCGGACACTATGTCATATTATTAAAGATTTGGGATGCATTAATCCTAATTTTGC